CCGGGCGCCGCAGCAAAAATGGCTGCCCACTGCTCCGGGTGTGTGTTCATGGTGTGTGTGTGTGTTCACTGCTGTGTGTGTGCACATGTGGATGGGATAAATGCAGAGCACTAATTCCGAGTATGGGTCACCATACTTGGCCACATGTCACATCACTTCATCACTTCACTTCACTTAATTACACTGTTTAGGGATAAGTAGCCATAGTAAATAGTATTTTTAAAATACTCTCTTAACAACTTTTATTTGTAGAATTAACCTACATAGGAACACATTTACAATTTTGAGACACCAAATTGCAAAAATGCTACAGACATTGAAACCGTTAGCCACAATGATCTATCCACACACACACACACACACACACACACACACACACACACACACACACACACAGAGAGACATCTTAAGTTGCTATGTAAGTTAAAAACCAGTTGATGTTTTCATTGTTTTCCCGAAGGATTTCATTTATTAGATAGGGTCGTTTGTCTCTCATTTCAGTTGAACTGTGAAGTGGGCCTCATATATGTATAATCTGAGATTGAGAGCCTTAGGTGCAACTCATTTTCTTCTTCATTATTCGGGTGCGTGGACGCCTGACAGACAGTGGCTCTAGTCTGTGCTCGGCTGCTCTGGCCTGCTGTGCTGGAGCTGTGAAATCGCGCTGATGGTCTGTCACATTATTTCTTGCTGACACCGTCTGAGCGCAGGAGCACCACGCCAAAAGATCAGCTCAAAAACACTTCATAACACACAGCTCCGGGTGAGTTCCGCTTTTTATATCATAGTTAATATATACACGCGTTTCTTTGAGTGGGAGGAGTGGGGAAAAGAGCTTTTTTCGCCGTTTTTCCACTGATGTAAATATAATTAGGGACTTTAGAACACTTCAGCTCTCACTATTCGCCACAAAACACAGTTTATAAATATAAATGTTTGTCATAACCCAGGCAGATTCATTAGCGATGAGCGGCCTGTTCAGGACATGTGGCCCTGGGGTTTTAAATTACGACCAGGGCTTTATTTGTGGTAGTTTTGTAAGACTAAAGGCAGATGGTGGACTAAAGCCAGCGCGACATTCACTGCTAACACAAGCTAATACATCTCCATGGTTTCACTCGAAATGTGATTTAAATCCGTTAAACACTGTCCGGAAAAGTAAGGCGTGTTTTTATAGAGCATATCTCTGCGTTAGGTGTGTTAGAAGAGCGGTAGACTGACAATATTGGAGGTATTTGTGTTTTTGTGTAGCTGGGAGCTAACGCTAGCGGTTCACGGAAGTGTGTGATAACCAGCTGCTCTCTCCTATTTCTATACTTTATTTATTGACTGTATTCATCATAAACACAACGCACGTGCGTGCTGTGTTGTGTAGCGCATCGCAGCTAGTTTGTGTTGTTTTTATTTCTTCTTTGATGTGACTTGCCTTGGGTTCGGAAGTTTGGCGTTTAAAACGTTTTTTAAATGCTTTGCATATCACAGAAGGCACAACTAAGGTTTTTATTGATAATTAAAAAATAGTTTTGTATGTAGTAAGTAGGACGCGCCTAGAACGAATGAAGTTACTAAAACAAAAAGTGAATTTAAAGCTCATCAGCTAGTCTTTTTTTTTAACTCACTATTTATAGTAAGGTGGGACGATGCAATAACTGGAGATTACATGTAAAAGTACATGTAACTTTTATTTTTTATTTTTAAAGTTAAAAAAGTGAATTAACTAATTCAGTTTACATTTTATTTATAAAGTTTTTTTTAATCAGTAGTATATATAGAATTATAGTATATAGAAACAAAAACATACTAATGCTCTCCAGTGATGCTTGTAACATTGTCACTATTTTGTACACTGAAGTTCTGTGAACCACAACTGTCAGATTTGAATTTAAATGTAACAATTTTCACATTTAATGAGTTTTTGGTTCTAAATGCTTAAATATTTTAGCAACTCTCTGGTGTTTTAGAGTGTTTTAAGGTCTTTTTAGTTTTATAAATGTTTTAATAACTCGAGCTGTGTATTAGAATGGTGCCTATTGTTTGTAAGCATTTTAATGACCGAGCTGTGTTTTTTTTAAACAGTGTTTTTAATCTGTAAGTGTTTTCTGGCGTGGAATTGGAGAGGAGGAAGCGAGAGAGGGGGAATCATATAAGCCAAAAGGAAATGCCAATCGCCACTACTGGTCATTCAGCGTCTCGAGAGCCCCGTGTCTGTTCCCCGGACCCCGTCCCCAAGCGTGCTGATTTATGCGAGGACACAGGGGCCCAGCCAACGGAATACGGGGGTTTGGAGGGGGGCCACAGCCTCGGCAGCACTAGACTCTCTGGAGCACTTGAGAGCTCCTCTGCGGCGTCTCATTCACCTCCCACTTCCCCTTTCCACCACCACCATCATCATCACCCACATCCAGTGACTATGGAGCCCCCCAGGACTCGATCACGCTCGCGGTCTGGATTTTACCACGGTGGATTATCTAACTTGAACAGTAATGCTGGGAGTGGTGGCGGTGCGCTAAGTCCAGCTGGAGGACTAAGCCATCACTACCACCAACAGCAGTTCGGAGCTGCTCATGGACACATGGAACACCTGCGCCCGCCCGGGAACATGCTTTCCCCAGGCGCCCACAGACACACAGGGCCTGGAATGCACAGAAACTCCGGAGCAGGTAAGACAGCCTTAAACCACCAGTCTAATTTTGGGTTATGGGTCTCATTTCAACTTGGAGGTGTAAAAAAAGACAAGACTTTTCTTACAAGAAAAACAAGAATTTTCTTACTGTTGAGATTTCATGTTGTCCCATATTTGGCTGGAACATGGTCTATGGCCTAAGTATAGTTGTGTTTTGACAACAAGATAGGGGGTGAAGACCGCTACTGGCTCTTCCCCATATATTTATTGACATTTGCTGCATTTATTGTTATTTAGAACAGTGTTGGACTGATTGAACACTGTATTTGTGGAGTATTCAATCAGAATATAGTCACAAATATCAGCCATCTCATTATTATTATAAACTTTACTCATTTAGTTATTTACTTGTTTGTTTGTAAGTCAGTATTTGAATCCGAAATGGATATCCTTTACATTTAAATAATGTAATGAAGTGAGGCGGAGCGTCTCAGACTGAAAGTAAAGGTTGAAAGTTATGCACAGGCTTCATGTGAGCTCTGATTTCTTCATAAATGGACTTAAAGCTTTGTCAGCAGGTATGCAAGTAACCGACAGACTTTGTGCCGTCAAGGGTCATGATATGGCATTTCTCCTGAAAACAGTTTTATTTCTTCATTAATGTTGATTAAGCTCTGATGAGCACCACACCAAGCATTCTTATTGACTCTTAAGATAAGCTTTTCTGCGGTCTGCTCCGTCTTGTCGTTTCTGCACAGCTTTCAAAGTAAACTCAACCATGGATGAGTTTGACACATGCACAGCACCTATTGGATCGTTCTGTCTCATCAATCAGCTCGCGGATGCGCATTTGTAAGCGAGTGAAAATGATGTTGTGCAGAGTACCATTGTGGAACAAGGGTGACTGAAGTATACATTGGGCTTAAGCAGCAGATTTGACAAGATGCTGTTTCGTACGTAATGTATACGTGCAACCAGACAGATTTGCATTCATTCAATTACACAAGCTGTGACTATTCTCCCCTGTTTTGGATGCTTAATGTTGTTATTCGCTGGTCCAAAATAGCACAGTGCTTACCCCCACAGTATGGGACAATTGTTCCCACCGACTTTAGGGTTTAAGTAGGGCTGGACAATAATTCAATATCAATATGTATCGCGATATAATTTTTTTCAATAACGGTGATATGATTTTTAAACACATTTCCGATATTTCGATATACATTACCAGTTTCCCATACATTGATTTATTTGTGCCGTTTGACTTCGTTGAATAAACATGAGCACTGCACGTTTCAAAATCATAACACGGCGCGGGTGTTTTATATGAATGTATCTCTGAAGGGAACTGACTGTCTTCAGAAAAGTTTCGATGGCATTTTCATTTGATCTGATAAAGTAGCGTTCATGAGCGGAGCTGCTTTGATTACAGCCATTACTGGAGAAACCGCTAGTTCTATCACTCTAAAAGCGCCTCCTGCTGGCGGAGAATGAGTTTTCATTTGAAATAAGCCCGTCTCCAGCAACATTTCCAGTTTTTGTTGTTGTTCAATTTTTTTGTTTACTGCAGCGACTCGGAGCACTTTTCATACCCTTTTTTCTGGCTGAAGCACATTTGTTTCAATCTATAAGAATAATCAGCCTACACTACCAGTCAAAAGTTTTTGAACAGTAAGATTTTTAATGTTTGATCTTCTGCTTAAGAATTCTCTTCTGCTCACCAAGGCTGCATTTAAAGTACATCAAAAACAGTAAAATGTTGAAATATTTGTACTATTTAAAATTGCTTTCTATTTGAATACATTTTAAAATGTAATTTATTCCTGTG